AAATTCGGTAACCGGAAGGCAACTGACGGCCCTCCTATTCGCATTCAGGGTCCGAGCGGGTGGGTGGCCGTTCACGGAGAAGGGAGTGGACTACTTCGGGCCCCTGGTAGTGAAGTACGGGCAATCGGTCGCGAAGCGGTACGGATGCTTTCTTACCTGCATGAAGTCTCGCTCGGTGCATTTGGGGACGGTGCATAGTATATCTGCTGAATTGTTCCTAATGGCGCTTTAAAGGCTAATCAGCAGACGCGGAGTCCCGAACAACATTTACTCTGACAACGGTTTGAACTTCGCGCGTCTAATGATCTGCACAGATAGCTGTCCCGAGTCGACCAAGGTGAACTACTTAAGCAACTGGCCTCCCAAAATATGCCTCGGCACTTCAATCCGCCGTACGTCAGCAATAGGGGCGGGGTTTCGGAAAGCATGATAAGGTCGGTGAGAAGGATTCTATTGACGGTGTGCAACCAACAGTCTATCGACGATGAAACCCTGAGCACAGCCCTAATTGAGATAGAGCGCATACTGAACAAAAGACCCTGGACCCCAGTTGAGAATGAAGCCCCGGGTCTCGCGCTCACGCCAAATGACTTGACACTTTTGAGAACGAATCACGAACTAGCAGTAACCCGAACAGTTACTAAATATTATCCGAGCGGCTGGAAGCAAGCAATCTACCTAGCTGGAGTTTTCTGGAAGCTGTGGGTCCCAGAACATTTGCCTACCCTACAGGCACACCAGAAATGGATTCTTCGGGAAAGGAAGTTTCGAGTTGGTGACATAGTGCTGCTTGCGGTTCTGGTCCTCTAGGTTGGTGGTTCGACTAGAGTTAGCGTCTCAGTCGGTAAAATGGTAGAGGAGTAATTGATCCAAGTTAATNGCCTTGGACGATAACCCCAATCGTTCTCCTGCTTATTGTCTGGACACCCTGGCAGTACCCGTCCATGAAACTCAAATGCATACACAAACAAAAAATAATTCCATACTGCATCCGTTGTCGCGCAGGAAAATCAGGACCGCGCTGCCCATTGCATCGAGCGGGGTGGGTAGTGATAAGTGGGCTATCACTCAGATACCCCAACCTTTGTTTAACTCTTCGTCTTCCGTACTCAACCTTCTACCTTTAACCTTTATTCAAACCCGTAACATTCCCTCGGACAACTTGTTCGGCACACGCCAAAATTCGTTGCCAAGTAGCTCGGTAAGTAGTTTACCACAAAATAGATTTAC